AGCAATAATCGGCTTTTATAATTAGGCCCAAGCCTAAATTTGGCTTATTTAAATTTCAATTGGTTTCAACATTTTTTTCCGGCTTATCAAAATACTACACTTTGGAGCTAATTTCTCATTCACCCGGAAACGGATTTAAGAAAGTAAATATGGAAACGCGCTCGTCTAGAGATCCGTAAAAAATTCTTAGCGGAATTTATTCCAAATCTTATCCAAAGTTTATATTTTTTAATGTCCCAGTTTCCAACAGAAGGTCCCAGTGTGTTGCCAAGGTTCAAGAGGCGGTGACCTGCGGGGTTCCTCAGAATGACTGAAGAGTCAACATCTTCAACGGTCTGAAATTGCTTGCAATTCAATTTTATATCTATCTGAGGACAGATGCAGTTATTAAGCACCGTCACTCTCCATTTTGGTTTTCCTTTTATTTCTCTCCCAGTTGGGACCGTACCTACTATGATATCGTGCCAGTCACATTTGCAAACTCCTGCAATTAATTTATTAGGAGATGGTCAAGTTTCTACATATAAAATTTTAAGTGATAATAATTTCACACCTCAAATCTATAATAACAATATAGAAGTTCAAATACAAAACGTGCAAATAAAAAAAAAAAAAAAAAAAAATGAATATGCTGTGTGTGTGGGGGTGGGGGGGGAGAGAGAGAGTTCTTAGTCAAAGTGATTTGGTTAAAAATGGCTTACCTTTGTTAATGAGGTTTAAAAGAAGAATTGCGATGAAAAACTTGAGGACTGCCATTGGAGAAAAATCTCAACAGATTTCTTCTTCTTCTTCTATTGAGAATTTGAGGGACTAAATTTACTTTGTTATTTATTTATTTATTTTTGTTTTGTTTCGGTAAATAAGTGAATATATAAACAAAAAATAATTACATAAATACGTGGGGCATATACCCCAGGGAAAATGTGATTTTTGACCTAAAAAATCTTCAATTACTTCTACTTACCAAAAAAGAAAAATCATTTGGATTATAATGGTAAAGACTTAAAAGCACAAATTGAGCTTATACTAATTTCCTTTTATGTACGTATTAATTTGTTTTTCGGAATTTTGGTATCTAAGTTATGTGAAAGATGCTTGGTGCTGGCTTTTATAAGGAAATCAAAATATTTTACGGACCAGGGCCCAAGACATACCAAAATTTTCAAAACGATTCAAGTTTGGAAACAATCGTAAAGGGTTAAGTCTTGCAGAAAGAAAAATGTTAATGACTAAAAATGTGATGGAAATAATTTATTTATTTGTGGTAAAGTTAAAAGTATGAAAGAATATCTTTATGAAATATTATTTTTAGAAAAGTGAAAAAAATATAATATTTTTAGAAAGTGGAAAAAAATATCATATTTTGTGAGAAAATGATAAATTGATAGATATATTATATATATTTACAATTGTGTTATGATTATATATATATATATATTTTTTTTAGTTATATAATATATATATATATATATATATATATGTGTGTGTGTGTACTATAAAATTTTACAGGGTACAATTATACAAATATAAAATATTTTTCATATAAAATAAAAAATAAACAAATAAAAGTTCCTTGGGGGCAGTTGCCCCCACAGGCCCATTAGTCCCTATGTGGTGGATATTTTGTGGGCAAAGTTGGTTGTTTTCTTTGTGGGTTGGGCCTTTTGTGCCTCGTGTTATGGGGCTATTTGGCCTTCATGGTTTCTTTTGTTTTCCTGGGCTTAACTCCCCATTAGGCCCGTGCTCTCGTGGCACTCATTTTCTTTGTTCAAAACTTCAATAGATTTGCTATACAATTTTCACACACACACACACACACACACAAAAGCTCTTAATTTAATTACTAGCCAGTATTACCAAGCTCTTAATTTAATAACTAGCCAGTATTACCAAAAAGATTTATATGAGGACAAAATCATCACAGAACTGTTAGTTGACAAATGAATTTTTTTAAATAACTTTCCTTTATTTAGATAGAGTAAAACTCACTCAAATTTTTTTGAAACTTTACCTCCATACTATTAATCAAACCAACCCCCTTAAGGTCCTATACACAAATATTATTTTGCATTTACATAGTTTATTTTTTTCAAAATATAATAAACTATTGTTATTTTTTAATATTTTATTTTAATATAATACATTATATAGTTTGCAATATTATTTGTATAATTATATATTTAAGGGCACTGTGTGTTTGCTATTGTATTGGTTTACATCAATGACTGAAAAGTTTAAAACATATATTCATTGGTTAGCTAGTTAATCTGATAGTAATACACCAGAGAAGGTTCAAGGCCCAAAGCTACCTATCCTAATACAGTAACTTTCTAATAATACTCTCTCTAGTGTCTGCATTTTCATTATTTGAAAGTGACACGAATTTTCATTCATGTGGAGGATATATATATATATATATATATAGACACGTTGCACGTAAGTTTCATTCATATTCCAACAATCCTCCACATGAATGAAAATTCGTGTCACTTTCAAATAATGAAAATGCAGACACTAGCACGTTAGACTATATGAATTGTTGCAGGCTAACCAATACAACCTAGTGAACCGTTGCAACTTTTATCAAGTGTGATGGTTGTGAAACGAAGAGTTGTAACTCAAAAACCAGGCAAATAACGTGTTTAGTGTGAATGGTTGCAACCCTTTGGAATAGATGTGTCTAGTGACGAACAGACACTTACAAGTTTATAAATATCCCCTAGATTCAATTGGAAAGTGCACCATTCAGAATCTTGTTTACATATTTCTAAATTCTCTCTCTCTCCCCCCTTTCATTCTCTCTATACATATAGTTCTAGTGTGTGACTGAGTCCGATGTAAAAGAAAGAGTACTTCACCGAGTTGGTTTTCACCTGTTTAATCCGGTTTGCAAAAGAAAGGTTGTTGTATCCTAGGAGACTGACGCTACAGGTTCTTTTATAATTTGGTTTTATTATACTAGAGAATTATATATATGTATATATATTATTTATAATAATTATTATATATATATTATATTTTTTTTTTATAATATTTAAATAGTAATATTATAGTGTATGGTACATATATACCATTTTGGTAAACAAAGGTGTTTCTAGAATGTTAAAAAAATAAAAAGATTATTAACACACTTTTTTAAATATAATTAGAAAGTGCTAGCAAAATATACATTATGCGTGTTTTCGTTGATTGACCAACAAGAAATTAAACTCTTTCATTCACGACTCACTACAAATAGGTATCACAAATCTTCCTATCAATATGGATAAAAATCCTCTCTAGGGAATATGTCACAGCCAGTGACTAACCTACGGTTCTAGTAGCGCCACGTCGCATAAGTGGGGATGGGTTAAAATTTGTTATTGCATACTGCAAGTATAATCGTTTATACAAACTACCAAATTTCAGCAGATGACACATTTTTTTTTCTTCCCTCTCAAAACCCTAAATTCTAAGCATTATCTTATCAAAATCTCTGGTTTGGTAGCGATTGATTGATTCAGGGTATATATATTTGAATAATTTACTGTTAGTGTTATATCTCTGATTTTGCTATTGATTGGTGGAAAGAAGATCTCCATGGTTCTCAAATTGGATAGCTAGATAACTATGGTTTTGCAATTGATTAGTGGGAAGACGATCGCCACGGTTCTGCAATTGGATAACTTCATTCGAGAATGACAAAACTTTATATATATATATATATATATATATATATATATATACATAAACACATATTGATGTGTGTGTGTGTGTCTATATATATATATATCAGTTTGTACCAAAATTCGCTATACATTCTAACTTTCTCCTTAACAACATCCCAACCATCTATTTCTCTTGTTTGGGATACATGTTAAGAAATTGTTGGGACGTTAGTCTTGCATCACAACATTTTCTTAATGTACATCCCAACTTTCTCCTTACTAGCATCCCAACATTTTTCTAACGTACATCCCAAACAAGATAAAGAGATGAATAATGTGATATTGGTAAGGAAGAAGTTGGGATGTAGATAAGGGAAAACTTGGAATATAGGGTAGGAAAATGTTGTGATATACAATTTGTACTAAGATATGTCTATGTATTTGTACAATAAGTGGGATGTTGGTAAGGTGAAAGTTAGGATATGGGTCAGGGAAAGTTGGGATATACAAGAAGTTGTAGGTTAGGGAAATGTTTGTGTAAAGAGAGATTAGTATGATTTTGATTTGGTCCCGTATGTATGTGTGTGTGTATATACAAAAGTTTTTTTTATTTTTTTTTTATTTTTTAGCTTATGTATTTTTACTTTTCTAATTTACTTAACGGCTGAGACATACGTCCTATTGCGCTTGAGAGGATTTCGGTCCCTATCAGTACTGCTTAATTTCCTTTCCTTAATCATCCATTAATTCTCTGTTTGAGAGGATCGAGAAAGAACACATGGATCAAGAAACTTGAAGATGTCTCAATAAATAATGTTTAAGAAGACAAAATTGTCACGTGTGAAATATTTACAGTAATTAAAAAATAATGAAGATGTCCCAATAAATAATGTTTAACAAGACACAATTGTCACGTGTGAAATAATTACATTAATTAAAAAAAAAAAGTGTCAAAAAGATTGTTTTTTTTAAAGAATAGTCACAATTTCTCAAAAGAGACTAAAACCATAGGAGTAATTACATAACAATAAATATAATAATTTCTTCTTAAAAGATTACATTAAGAAATCATAAGAGCAATTACATATCAATAAATATAATAATTTCTGGTTAAAAGATTACATTCAAGTTCCCTCGTATTACCTTATTATTTGGTCCACTTCTTAAATTGGAGTGTTTTAATTGAAATGTACCGGGTGTCCAGAGTCCAGACTCTCTAATAATTTTCTTTAATTAAGAGTTACTTTAACTACCAAAAAAATAAGTTTCTTGTCATTATAAATAGAACAAGTTCTTACGCTTCTCTCCACAAAAAATCTGTAAAGTACTTGCAGTAGTACCGGTCCTCAATAAATGGCAGGCATAATCAAGTTAGTTTGTGTAGTTTTCTTTCTCAGCCTCATGAGCAAAGGTAATATATATATATATATATATATATATAGATCTATTTTTACTTTTCTAGGTATATAAAGGTAAATTAGTTCAGCGTAGAGTGTAGCCAACTTTACAAATTTTCTTATGTTTTTGATGAATTTTCTTATATTACAGGAACTCTCCAATGCTACCCGGGAACGCTGACACTCAAACAAGTTGCAACTGGAGTTCACATAAGTAACAAGCCAGAGTGGAGAGTGATAATTGCCAACGAATGCCTCTGTACTCAGTCAGATGCCAAAATACTTTGTGCTGGATTTCAAACCGTAGAGCAAGTCGACCCTAATATTTTTGCCAAATCTGGGGACACTTGTGTCATCAACAATGGATATCCTATACATGGACATACTTCGGTCAACTTCACATATGCTTGGGATAATGCTTTTGCATTTGGCAAAATAACATCCCAAGAGAATTGTTCTTGAAGAAATTTTTTGGGGTACCGTTTGATTCCTTTTCATTTGGCAAAAAATATGGTGGCTATAAAAGCTTAATCATGTAGCTCCTTTTTTTGGTAATAAAAGAGATTCCTATTATCTTGTGTTATGGATTATATATATATACTCATAGATTTTAGTATGTATGAGTATGATGTCTGGCATTAATGTAAAGAAACCAGGACACCCATTGACAATGTATGGTGAAACGAAGTGGAGAACAAAGGATGTAATGAAGCTTGAGAGATTTGATTCATGTTATAACTGGCATCCAAATCCAAATTCAAATTCAAATTGGAAACCAGATGTTATGTCCATGAATCAAAACCATCCTGTATAATCCATATCATATTGGCAGAATTTGAAGCTTCACCGTCTTTAGTCTTTCAAGGATGTTTACAATTATTTTGATTTTGCAAAAAATCCGTTATGTTATTTCATTCCTATAAATTGGATTTATTTCATTTCTATATATCCAATTTAGTAACTTCCGTGAAAGAAAGATTTTTCTAATATAGGAAGGTCAGGGTAACCTTTTCAATTATATATAAAGACAGCATTCATAGATTATGGTCCAAACATATTCTAACCTATTCTAAGTAGGGTTAAAACTGTAATTTACTCTTTTATTTTTTCTATTTTATTTTACTTCTTTTATTAATATATATATATATATATATATTTTTACAGATATGTTCCAACATAAACAAAGTTCTATGCGCGCTCAAACACCTACCTCTATCTCTATATACCTAGCTAGATGGATAAAAGTATGTATTGGATTTTGAATTTTTTTTTTTTTTTTTTGACACTTTGGATTTTGATTTATACTTGGGCCAAATTGGTCGGGTTCATATACATATATACAATGTTGCTTAAACGTTGTGAAAAAGAAAAGATGGACAGGCATTCATAGAGTAGAATCTATAAAAGGATATTAGTATAAGTTCAATCCATGCTTTTAAGCCTTACCATTATAATCCAAAAATTGTTGGTAATCTAATATTATTATAAACCATATTATTCTTCTTTTGATGATTTTTTTTTTTTTTTTTTTTTTTCCCTGACAAGTTACAACAACAATAAAAGAAGGTCTTAACTTATTTATTTATTTATTTGTTTATTTTGTTTTGTATAAATAATTGAGTATTGTTTAGGTCAAAAATTACATTTTCTCTAAAACATGGCATTTATTTCTTTGATTCTCACCCTCCTGTCCGCCGGATTATGTTCACACATAGTGAGTTGCACAATCATTAATGTCAGAGCTTGCATAATTTTCCAAGAAGGGTAATTTGCACTCACAATAAAGATTCTATTTATTGCTAATATAAAAAAATTGTGTTTAAGAAGATAAAACTAATAAATGAAAATAGTAATCTCTTGTTAGAATATTACATTGGTGGCCAAGTACAATCATGATGTTCAAATATTCTCAAAATATTTTATTATTTGGTCCACTTTTCCTAGTTGCCCATCTAATAATTTTTTTTTAATTAAGAGTTATTTCACTACCGAAAATGATAAGTTCTTGTAATTATAAATAGAACAAGTTCTTGCTATTCTCTTCGCAAAAAATCTGTATAGTATTTGCAGTGGTCCTCAATGGCAGGCATAATCAAGTTACTTTGTGTAGTTTTCTTTCTCAGCCTCATGTGCAAAGGTATATATAGAATTTATGTATATATATATATAAAATTATGTTTTTGATTGATTTCTTTCTACTACAGGAACTCTCCAATGCAATCTGAAACTATATCAAGAGTCTACCGGAGTAAAGATAAAAAATAAGCCAGAGTGGAGAGTGACAATTGCCAACGAATGCCCGTGTAAACAGATCGAGGTGAAAATATTTTGTACTGGATTTCAGACCGTAAAGCCGGTAGACATTCACAGTTTGGCAAATTTTGGAAAAATTTGTGTTGTGAACGATTACAATCCCATATATGCACATAATTCGGTCAGCTTTACATATGCTTGGGACCATGAATTTGCATTTGGCAAAATATTGTCCAAAGAATTATGTTGAATTTTTTAGGGTTAGACTTCTTTTCTTTTGCCAAAATATGGTGGTTACAAAAGATTAATCTTGTTGAATTTGTTTTGGTAATAAAAGGTCCTATTGATATCTCCATCAAATCATATGAAAAGTTATATTGAAAAGTGAAAGTAAAAGAAAGTGAGGGGAATAAAAAAAAAAAAAGTTATGAGAAATTATCATTTTATAGTTTGGATAGTATGAAACTTATCATAAAAGATAGGACATTATTGTAATTTTATATAACTTTCGGTGTATTTTGAAAGAAAATTTTATAGAAGATTTAAGTGGTTATGAAAAGTAATTTTCTCTCAAAATAAATTCGTTTAGATATTTCTCCAATGGGCAAGTTTTTCATCGCAATGTGTGTGTGTGTGTGTGAAGTGTATAGCACATCTATTGAAGTTTTGAACAAAGAAAATGAGTGCCACAAGAGCGCGGGCCTAATGGGGAGTTAAGCCGAGGAAAACAAAAGAAACCATGAAGGCCAAATAGCCCAATAACATGAGGCACAAAAGGCTCAACCCACAAAGAAAACAACCAACTTTGCCCACAAAATATCCACCACATAGGGACTAGTGGGGCTGTGGGGGCAACCGCCCCCAAGGAACTTTTATTTATTTATTTTTTATTTTATATGAAAAAAAATTATATTTGTATAATTATCCTCTCTAAAATTTTATAGTACACATATATATATTATATATATAACTAAAAAAACAAAGAAATATAATCATAACACAATTGTAAATATATATAATAGAGTCATGATCTTTTGCTCCCCATGGAGCAAGAAAAATAATCCACACTTTCTATATAGACCGTTAGATTAAATCTAACGGTTATTTTACAAACTCACTTATGGCCTTTCCTTTTAATACAAAACCACTCTCACCCTATTTTTAGTTTCTATATTTAATTTTAACATTACCACCTGCTGCAACAATTAATATCCGTATATTTTTCTAATAAATTTGTTTTTATTTAGATGTTCTTTTGAAAGAAAAACCCGTATCTTTCAATTTCGCAACAACAGTATGATATTATAGTCTTTTCCTAAGAAACATTTTGTTGTTCTCAATATAAGTAAATTAATATACTTCTCTAGCATAAGTAAATTGACAAACAAATATACTGCAATGTTGCATTGTGGAATATCAATTGATTAATTGGAATTGAAATTTAAGAAAATTTCATTTAAAATTTGAATAAAAGTACTTTTAATAAACACACTGGATACATTTCATGAACAACTGAAAGCCATAACAAAAGCAATATGAGACGTACTAAGGTATCTCAACTTGCATCAATTGTAATTGATGAAGCTGCATTCTCAGAAGAAGGTACAGAACTGTTAATAAACACACTGGATACATTTCATGAACAACTGAAAGCCATGAATGCAAGTAAAATTGGAGGAAAAAATGCTTCATCATTAGAAAAACAATATGACATTCATCTACAACAAACCTTTAATGATCCTCTTCAAGTCAGAGCAAAAGGATGCGGTAAATGTTTTGAGGTCATGGAGAGAGACTAAAAAGACAAATCTTAGACGTTGTCGTGGTTGTGGAGAACTTGGACAGTCACATGACAAAAGAAATTGTCCAATGCTTATTAACAAGTGAGCATTATCTCATGCTTATTATTATTACTTAATTATAAAATTAATTAGTGTTTCACATGCATTTTTTTTCTCTGTTTTAGGTCTACTATAAACAGTGACGAGAATATTTCTTATGGGTCAGAACATATGGACGATGGATGTAATTGAATGTGTTCAAGGCATGCATTTGACCTTTTTTCATTATTTTGTAAATTTTTTTATTTGCTTTCTTGGCAATAATAATTCCGTTTATTTCATCTAAGTCAATATATATATGCTTAATTATTAATTTGTGGTTGAAATTTTTTTTATTCAGGTTTACACGAAGTGGAGAGATATTTCATTAATTTTGAAAATATGAGATAGAGCAAACAGATGGACGGGAGTTTGTAGGTTTTGAGGCCTAAATGTCTATTAGTTGGCTTTACTTTTATTTGTTGTGGAAGAGTTTACTTTAAGGTTTTGAGGATTAAATGTTTTTAAATTTTGTTAAGTTTCAGCCCTTTATGAAGAGATTAAAATTTTTGTTTTCATTTTATTTAGTTTAAGCTTTAACAATTTTGAATAAAGCCAATGTTATGTGATTCCATTATTCAGTTGTATAATATTGTTATTCACAGGCAAAAATAACTATAACATAGTCAGTACATCATCATCATCCAATAATCAAACTCATATATTCAATAATGAATTTCACCAAATATCCACCTTCAAATTGAATAGAAAGTACTTTTATTCAAATTTTAAATGAAATTTTCTTAAATTTCAATTCCAATTAATCAATTGACATTCCAAAATGCAACATTGCAGTATATTTATTTGTAAATTGACTTATGCTAAAGAAGTATATTAATTTACTTATACTGAGAACAACAAAATATTTCTTAGGAAAAGAGTATAATATCATATTGTTGTTGCAAAATTGAAAGATACGAGTTTTTCTTTCAAAAGAACATCTAAATTAAAACAAATTTAGTAGTAAAATATACAGATATTAATTTTTTCTCAAATGTTTCTATTTTTAATTTGATAATTACTTTTTATTATTATAGTAGGTGGTAATGTTAAAATTAAATATAGAAACTAAAAATAAAGTAAGAGTGGTTTGGTGTTAAAAGGAAAGGCCATAAGTGGGTTTGTAAAATGATCGTTAGATTTAATCTAACGGTCTATATAGAAAGTGTGGATTATTTTTCTTGCTCCATAGGGAGTAAGACAGGGCCGGCCCTGAGATTTCAAATATTTTGAGAGGCCCTAGGCAAACTTTCAAATATGAGGCCCTTAAGTTTCACACGAGCAAAACAAATTATAGCAGAGCGGAATTTTCACACGATGTTTTCAAAT